AGGCAAACGGGTCGGGATAGTTGTCCGGCGAGTGATGTATGGCGTAAGTCGGTATCTTTATAACCACACCCTTCGCGACATGAATGTCAGGCCGACGGCCGGCGCTCAACACCGTGTCATCCGAGGCCCGCCGCTCGAGCCGCGAATCCGTGGGATATTTGCGTAGAGTTTCCGATACGACGGCGTCCAGGAGTGGCAGTCGTAGGCAAAGGGTGTCGTAGTCTATGCCCTCATTGATCACCGCGTCGTTGATCTCCGCCACCAACCGATCCTGAATGCCGGGATTCACTGCCAATTCGTACGTACAGTACGTTAGGGTTAGGGCAGTTGTCTCGTAACCGGCTGTAAAAAACAACGAACACTGCGCCAGTATCTCATCGGCGGTCAACCGCTTGGCCACGACTCCGCTGAACGCCTGTTTCCCTGCCATCAGTTCGTCGACGCCATCATTCAAGTGATGGCCAAACATAGCATCGCCGGCACCGGCAGTGGTATCGCCGGCACCGGTAGTCGGATCGTCGGTGTCGTCCTCTCTCTCCACATCCATCAACAACTGTAGGAAATCCGTGTGTTTTGCCGCCGACTCCTTGCGCTCAGTCATCACACGTCGGGCGACGTCGTTGAAGAACTGGTCGTCGGGTCGGCCGCCGGTCGACGCCAACCATTTCCACATACGGCTATTGGTTAGAAATGTGGGCAAAATCATGGCTAATATCTTATGCCATTCATTAGTGGAAAAAATTTTGTTTGATATCTTATTGGCGGTGGCGATGAACGGGTTGTTTGGGTCGGTATAGGAGTCGGTTTTGATGGCGAACGCTGTGGTGGCGATCGCGTCGAGGGTATAGGCGTTCATCAATTGCTTGAGGTTAACCTCGCGGTGACCACCGCTGGCCGACACGTCCCGCGCGAGTGCGGCCAAGAAGTGGGCGCAACACTTGTCGAGCTGGGGATACATTTGTCGCAGTCGGCGGGCGGTGAATGTGGGCGACGCTATGGCGCGGATACGTTTCCAGTCCTCGTCGTTGGCTCGGGGTATGGCCAACGAGACGGGTCCGCTCAACACTGGGGGCAGCGATCGGTTACGGAATGTGTGAAATTGTTTCACCAGAATCTGTTTGATGAGCGCCGGCTCCGACACGTATAGCACCGGTTTTGCGCAATTGTAGACTCTATGCGATTAAGTTAAATATTATATTACATTTTGTTTAAACATTTTTCTTGTATATTTAAATATTTTCATTTTAATTACTTACCCAAAGATTGTGCCGTAAGTGTTATACCACTCCATATCAACCATTGCTCTCAGCTTTAAGATATGACTTAAATTATTGCCAAACAATGGGATGGGTTTCGGACCCGAGATATTGCGCTCCGACCAGTAATTCAATATTTTACACCATTTGCTATACAAATAAAATACAATTCTTTTTAAACCAAACATTTTTAATTCAAATCTCTATAGAAAAATATTATTTTCATTTGATATCTATGGGATTACCACTATAATCTATTATATGTTTTTTGCAATAGTTTAACATCAACAATGTTAATTCTAAAAACAATGTTAAGTCTAATGTTAATGCTTAATCTGTTGATAAATTTAAACTATTGATATATTGCTAATTGGCTTGTTAATGTTAATTTATATGATATGCTATAAGTAGATGTTATATTATACTAAAACTACTTACAAATAATTATACGTGATCCAAACGGCCAGACCAGAGGCTACCAAATACAAAACGTATAATGACATAGTTATAAATCCTATTATTTGTGATATAATATAAAATATTATTACAAAAAATACATAATTGAAATATAAATTGTATGATAATATTTCTTACTTATAATAGTATTTACTAATAAAATAGTAACTAAACTTTACTTAACTACTACTAGCATTAGACTATTTCATAGACAACTAGCTTTGTTAAGTTGTCCAAAACAAAATTATTAGCAATGTCATTGTAAAAATTAAACTAGAAAGTCTCAATATAAATATTTTAATAATCATCAGACATTAAATGATTTGCATGTAATATTTTACAGTAAATAAAAAAATAATCTAATAGACCGGCGCTTTTCATACGCGATAATCTAATTAAAAATTAAATTAATTGTTTAAATCTGCATAAATAAACAATCAAGTTACATTAAATCAAACTTATGCTTATAATCAAAATTTCTACGAAATGCGATAGAATCCAGTGTTAAATACAACGAGGTATCATCATTAGCATCAGGCACATAATAATTGTTAACTTTACGGTCCTGTACGCACGTGCGCAAATATCTACGCTCGTAAATCATCGAGTAGCCAGCACCTTTTGTTACATAATCACACGGGTACTCTTCCAATATGATAGCATGTTCAAATAATTTAAAATATAAACTATTGTCTTGAATCTGTGTAATAAAATTAACAGTAATTAAATAAATTATATGCAGATTTATAGCATAGGTAAATATCACATACTTTGAGCATGCTTAAATATTGAAATGAATTATTATGATATATTATTCTCATATGACCATGACCAATCTCCTCGATTAAAGCGGTAAACGTGTCAATACGTATTTCATTGGGTGCCGTTAATAGTGAGTAAACACAGCCCCCATACCAGGTGTCCAAAATGAGACAGGTCAATAACCATATGTAGAGCATAAGTTTAAATTGCCTAGATTTAATAGATCTAGTATTAATTGGTTGTTGAAATAACGCGGTCAAAAGTGTCCATAGGGTTGACATTTTAATATTGTGAGTTTTCAGTAAGCTAGGTATAATTATCCAAAACATCATGATAGTCACGGCCAATAACAGCCAGATGTACCCATCAAATATGCTGAATAAATTAATGAACATGTTATGTATGGGTAGGGGAGCTATGAATGAGAATGAGTCCACGGCGTACGGGTAGGAAAAGTCGACGGCATCCATACGATCTAGGCCAATTGATATGCTATTTAGCCCTATGTCAGCTTTCTACAATAATTCAATTTTTAAAATACACTATAATATAAAGATCTAAACAAACTAGGTATAATTTATCTATTAACGTACGCTTTCATTTAATAAACCAATGATTCCGGTCCATTTAGTCAAGTTTCCGACCTTAATCATATTGCCCCAATCATCGTGGCAATCAATGAGCTCGTACGTAAAATTAAGTAATTTTTGCATGGTTAATATCATGTCAACGTCTGACCCGTTTATAAACTCCAGTTTATTTAGCAGGGTATTATTATAAAATGTAGCATCGGGAGCACTCTATAATTAGTAGATTAATTAATAGAAAACGACATAGTACAAATTAAATTATCAATGTAAAGTTAATTAAGTTATAGTTACATTAACTGTAGCAATAATAAAATGTTTGTTGTTTTTGTTATACATTTTGCAAAAATATTTTAAGTATATAAAGTAAAAATTAAACAGAATAAAATCTACCAACATAAAAGTCTACATTATATAATTACAGTCCACTCACGGCTTGGAATTTAATATTGTATTTCTAGAAATAAAATCAATTTTTTATGCAAATAGACAAATATTTGTAATTATAAATGTGTTATGTTCAATAAAAAAATTTATTGATAAATACAGCTGCATAACAAAGTTTTATATAATAATATGAATTAAATGTGCCTATTTAATATCTCAGTGGTAAAAATTGTTTGCAAATTATAATTGTATATTTATTTATACTATTCAATAATAAAAAATAAGAAAATATTTTAATTAAATCAATTATTTTACTGCTTATACTAATATTACATATGAGAGCTAGGCGATCATGGGGAACCTAGCAGCTAATGTATTTCCTATGGACAATGAGCAGTAGTTATAACTCAAAAAGTACTAGACCAATTTTAACAATTTATATATCAAATTGTACAGAATGAAATTTAATTTGAGACCTGTATCAGGATTTTTCCTATAAATGTAAAGAATCAGAGTATACTCATATTAAATAGGTAAAAATATCATATTTAAAAGCCTTGCCATTTAAAAAATACTTATTCAATTTTAAGTATCAGTATATAAAATTAGTTCAAATTAAGAATATAATAATATAATTTTTTGAATTTCAATATTTTAATTTTAAACATAATTTTTTGCACATAAAATTAGAATTTAAGTTTAAAATATTGTTTACGATTGGAATTTTTAAAAACTAAAAATTTGTATTTTTCTACTTTCAATTATGACTAATTTTATATACTGATAATTAAAATTAGATTTGTACTTTTAAAATAGCAAGGCTTTAAATTATTGTATTTTACTTTTTAAATATGAGTATAATCTGATTCTTCACATTTATTAAAAAAAATCCTGATACAGGTCTCAAATTAAATTTCATTCTGTATAATTTGATATATAAATTGTAAAAATTGGTCCAGTACTTTTTGAGTTATAACTACTGCTCATTGTCCATAGGAAATACATTAGCTGCTAGGTTCCCCATGATCGCCTAGCTCTCATATAATTGTATACAGTATAAAATAGCTAATAATGACAGAGTATTGCATTGTAAGCAAATATAAAACACAAAATAATAGGCCGTTTAGAAAAAAAATGTTTCTATGGCCAATAACTTTGGCAGATACTTTGATATTGTTTTTAGATTCTATAAACACTAGATCATGTCTGCACATTTCTATAAAATGTATCATGATTGACTAAAATTTTAAGCATTTATTTTTTAAATTGTTACAAATTGTCTTAAAAATTTATTGAATTCATTTTTATTATTTGTTAATAATGATAAATGTCTACGTACTAATGAAAGCTACACATCTCCTCTATAATTTAAATATTTAATTTTGCACATCAAGCTCAGACATATATTGATTTAGTCATTATACTGTATAATCAATAAACGGAACTTTTTAAATTTCTAAAAATATTATAAATTATATTTTATATTAAAAATAAAAATGTTTAGCTTGAAAACTATAAAATATTTTACTTAAACATATAATCAATTCAATATTGATTTTCTTTATATATAATTTTAAACTATTTATATACGAAGTTAGAAAATATCATTGCATGCAATTAATTAATCTATCATTGTTAATAAAACATTATTTAAGTATATCATATTTTAATATTTCATTTAAATAGAATATTAGTTTAATTATTTAATAATATTGCTAAATGTACTATATGGCCACTACTGGAAAACAAAACACAGGGTTGTTTACTAAATTTGTAAATTACATTACAAATAATATGATTAAACTAAACGAATGGCACGACTTGTCAATAGGTTTGTCAATATTTGAAACGTTTAATAAAAGCGTTTATTTTATAATTTGCGAGAATTTCGATGAATACGAGTCCGGATTGAAGAGCGCTAAACGTTTGGCAATCATTTCAATCATACGATTACTATATATTGTCCACACGTTTCGATGGATAGCACTCGGGTTGACTGATAATGTATGGGCTCGACAGCAGTTGCTATGCGACCCGACAAACGCGTTTGGTAACTCTAAATTCATATGCGCTATAATGGTTATATTGTCGGTAATTGTCATCTTGGTCGATAATCTCTTGCAGATTTATGAATACAATAATAAAGCCTATTATTTGAATGTGATTAACGATATGAAACACAACCGAGGCTTACATCCCATGAATAGAGAAAACACAGTCAAAGTGACTAAACTTGTAAACAAATTTATGCGGCTATTTGTTAAACCGTACGTTATATCAAGCTCAATTTGTTGGTCAGCGCTATTCATATGGGCAATGATTGATGGTCATATTGGTGGCTATTCCCAATTATCAACCATAATGCTATTTCTATGGGCTATAATAACAACGATTGCGTGGCTCCGTTTATATACCATAATGGTTTTGGGGTTATTTTTATTTATTCTAATACTACTTTATTTGAACGCATGTTTCACTGAAATTAATGATAAAATGTATTTTTGCGCAAAACATGGCCTAACGAAACGTCTAATGCAGTCGTTCAATGAGCACAACGTTATGATCAAAATGACCAAAGAATTAAACAAGTTTTGCTCAAAAATGATCATGATCATATATTTTATGGGCACTCTAGCGACTCAATTAGTATTGTATGCTACACACAATGCGGGCACAACCATTGTGCTTAAGCTATGTACATTTATGTGTAGTTTGGCCACAATTACCGCGTTGTTTAGTTTGAATGTATTGTTAGCGTTGGTATCGAAAAGCGCTCACAAATGCTATTCATTGATGTTTTCAATACTAATGAGTCGTTCGTTAACTATAAGAGAGTCACTGAGAGTGGAGTCAATGGTAGGCGTAATGTCGGGTCCGGACATTGGTTTCTATTGCTATGACTTATTCCCTATGAATAGCTATCAGTTCTATCAACTCATATACATCTCTGGACTTAACTATTTTCTTATTATATCTATTTTCTAATATCTCTCTCTCTCTCTCTCTCTCTCTCGCTCTGAGTTTTGTATTAAAGATGTAATTATGTGAATGTTTGATGTGAATTATGTAAATATAGTATTATATTATTTAATTATATTAATTGATTAATTATGAAAATGTGAATATTTAATTTCATTGTGATATTTATGTTTATTTTAAAAATTGTTTAAATTAATAAAATTCTATTGATGCTATGTTCCAATTTAATTTACTCATTTATCTTGATAATAAATAATAATTAATATAAACAAATACTTGTTTTTAAAATTAATCAATTACATTTAATGACAATTAATTTTAAAAAATAGACGATAAATTATTACGTACAATAGAAATTTAACATAACAGCTACTGAAATTAATTATTATCATTGATTAAAATATGATAACATCATGGCAATATTGATATGCTTACCTGTATAGGTATTAGCACTATTAGATAAAATGCATATAATTAAATAATACCATATTTTTAACAACCAAGAAGTGAAATTATAAATTATCAACATTATGCACAGGTGTGTAGCGGTATCTTAACTGTATTTGGTATATGTGACAAATTGATCACCGTATTTATCACTTTTAAGAGCAATAAGTAATGTCTAGATACAGTCTGGGCTCAAATTGTTTTCAAAATCTATTAGTTTAAATACTCAAACTGATTGGTGTCCATTACCCACTTTTGTAAATGCATCTGTTCATTCCCAATGTAGCAATATTATATATATTACTTAATAATTAATTATGCATGTGAATTTATTTATTATCGTGGCTATTGACACTTTTATTTTCAAAATTCACGCGCTAGATTACGAAGCGGGTAAAACAAGCAATAACATTTTTTCATCTAGCTACGCGACAGTACATAACGAGGATCATGTCGGTTTAAAATGCTTGCAACAAATTTATAGCAAGGTTACAAAATGCAATGAAGAGAATGGATGTTATAGTTATAATGATGGCAAGGAATTAAGTTCCTGTAATTGGTTATGGTCACATATTGAGTGTAATAAAGTATACGCACATGTAAAGTGTAATTTATCAATTTATGTTTTACATGTATGTTAATTGTATTTATAAAAATTGTACAGTGTGTATAACTTTTTGTGCCACTATTGTTTACTGCATTAAAATTAACATCTCAATTTGATTAAATCAAAATTTATGCTTTAACTCTAAAATGATTTAAAGTACTTCAAAATTTTTATAATTATTTTGTGTGCAATGTATTAATTAAATAAATTTTATAATTAATATTCATTTAATATCTATTAGTTGAAATAAACTTAAAGTTGCTTGGATGCTTATCTATCTGCTTGTTGCACAAACGGATTTATGTAAATTTAACATAAACTATGCAAAACATGTTTATTAATATGTAAAGCATTTATTAACCTAGCTGGATTGCAACCACGATGAAATAGATGCTGTAGAAGATTTATTAGCTACGATGGGTGTAATGATATCGGATATGCAATCAAATGCACAAACAATTTA